TGTACGGACAGGACCTGCGGGACCGTTTTGGAGGGAACACATTCCTCCACGCTCACTCACAATTACACCCCGGGAGTTCCCACGGGCTGCGCCTATTTAACTTCGCCGGGCGTGAATGTGAAGGAGATGTTGAGATGCCAAGGAGTACAGGGAGAGCCGGTGTCGCGGGGCTGGGCGCGAGCAAGTGGAGAGGGCTGTCAGGGGAGAGGCGGCAAGCCCTGCCATCTCCACCATTCACATTAGGATTCAAAATGCCACAGATGTGACTGCATAATAAGTAGGGGAGCATACTGGTAACTGCGGCTTCCCCCACGTGCTTAATTGATCACATTGTCCTGCGCTCCGGAACAGGGAGGGCTCGAGGCAGAGGGTCTGAGGGCCAGCAGAGGCCCCGGGTCCCTGGATGGGCAACAGCACCTCTGGCAGACCTGGCAGAAAGAACAGCAGACTGGTGTTCAAATCCGGTTGCTAGGATACCATGGAGACCCTCTGCGGCTAAGCAGACAGGGGGGAAAATATGCGTCCATACGCCTTATAACCTGCAAACAGCAACAACAGAAACATGGTGTGCCCAACTCTTTAGTGAAATACTAAGCAGCAGGCGCCTGGAAATGTGGCCCAGGAGAGCAAGGAAGCTGGCCATGGATATTCTCGGGCATCCTCCGCAGCCACTCTGTTTAAGGGCTTGTCAGGGTTTTCATTATAAGCCCCAGTGCAGGGGCACACAACTTCACCGTGTTTCCAAACCCCCGAACCGGGTTTTAAGCAACCTGGTCTCAGACATTTTTCTGAAAGCTTCCACGACCTCAGTTTTAATGCGCAGGCCGCCGTGTCAAATGATCGATGCAACTTCAATGGGAAAGTCTATTAGGACAGCGTTAAGTTGGAATTCAACTCCTCCACCAAAACAAGGGAGATGACTTTCCGAAACTGACTTCAGGCTCCATTCTCATCTCCGGCCCAGTGGCCTCACTATGTAAGCAATCTGCCGTGCTGGTCTGGGGCATGAAAGATGATTCTCCATGAGACTAGTCGGAAGCGAGGGGGAAAAGAAAAGTTGTTTTCTTTCCGAGCGGGACTCCATGTCTTGGCGAGTTTTAACCGTCTGCTGCTTGGTTCCTTGAAACGCTCTCAGCCAGTGGGGCCGGTTACAGCTCCGATCAGGGTTGTGCTTGTAGGAGGTGCAGGGCTGAAGGGACTTTCTGAGATTCGGAGCTTTGCTGATGGGGAACAGTGGGTGCTCAAGGCTGGGCGGCTGGACAGCGCACGCGTGCGCACACGCGAGCCCGGAGTGTTCCAAACACTTACTTGTGTAGCATTAACTCCTCCATGCAGGGCCTCTGTCTCTCTCACCTCTAACCCCTCAGGATAGCTGCGCATTGCAGACATCCCATAAAAGTATTCAGCTGAACTGTAGGGCCCATCTGGAATGTAATTGCTCCTTCTGAATAAATCTGTATTTTAATATTCTAACCATCGATGATTATACCAAAATTCTAGTATTCTCTCAACTTTCCTACAAAATTTAACACACAGCCTTTAGGAAGATACTGTTTCTCTAGAGATGTAATGTACTTGTGCCCAGGTTTAAAAGATCATGTAAGAGCTTGTTAAAATCAATGCCTCCCTAAAAATAAGAAAATCCATTTCTTTTTGCCCTCAGCTCTGCCAAAATATTTCACAACCAAAGAGTGAAACGTTACAAAACATAACATCGTTCTCTTAAATTCAGCTACCTCTGGGGTGAAAAGCACCAGCTGAACAAAAATTCAGAGACACTGACAACTTTTTATAGGAACTTAAGTCTATACAGCCCAACTGAAATGACATGTAACCCCGGGACAGCAAAATGGAAAGGATTTGAGAATACTTACAACAGGTAAAGGGTTTAGATCAAAATACCAGAGTAAATGTTCTGACCTGTTACAGAGTTTTCAGGAATGAAGTATGATGAAATAAAATTACTTTAAAAGTTCATAAGAACCATCCTGTATACATAACCAACAGACTATCCGATCTCATAAAATGGATTTTATATTTTTTTCATTTTTTGATTTGTTCAATTTATTTCAAAACATATGGCCTAATAGTTTTACATTCTCAAGTAGTTATGTGGTAGTAATGGAATATAGTGCCAACTTCTACATCAGTTTTTTGCTTCACATTCCTAACAGAGGAAGGACTTAAGGACTATTTCTATACAGGTGTGAAAGAAACAAAAACACCCACCAGTCCCCCAAAACACACACACACACACACACACACACACACACGCACGCACGTTCAGCAGGAGCTCCCTGGCTCTGACAAAGCATTGCCTCCCATTCCCAGCTTACAGGGAAAATTCCAAATCAAAAATGTTAAAAATGATTTAAGTTAATAATTTACATTTTACACTATTTTTAAATGATCAAAAATCATTTAAAAAAGTTTTTCAAAATTATAATCCTCAGAGGGCAATCTCAGTAAGCAAAAAGTAACCATATTTGCATATATCAGATAAATGAACAGAACCTTAGCTGGGCAGTTGCCTACATCTAGTGAAAAGGGAACAGAAAATTCACAGGAAAGTGAATTTGAAATCCATTTGAGGCTATTCAGGTGGTTTCCTTTTAACTTGAACTCACAATGATCCGTGTGTGAGTTTAAGAAAGAGGACTATATATAAGTTGCACTAAAAGCAAAATATAAAGACATAAACACTTGTTGCCAGTCAGCCTGTATAATCAGATTACTCAAAGTGAAATAAATTGAAATTCGAGCAAGTCTTCTTTGGTTTGGCAAGTTTTCCTAATTCTTTGTGGAGCTACCTTGCACAATCATTCAAATGACATAAGGTATAATCATTTTGCATACAATGTAACTTCTCTTTCAAGAAAGGTACACTCTACCACTTAAGCCAATTTTATTCTAGTTTTCTTTATGTAAGTGTGAAAAAAGAACAGATGTTTTTCCAAAATTATTTAAGCTTGGAAGACATTCTATCCTTTTCTTCAATATAATCTTTCAGAATCACCAAAACCATCATGGTGATACCTTAAACAGCTGATTTCTTTAAAGCACATTATTAAATAAATATCAGAACGCACAGCACTGTTCCATAGACAAAATGTTTATTATAACAGAATGGTGTGAATTATTTGCCAAGCTAATTTCATTTTCCACCATGGACTTGTAAAAAAAAAAAATCTACTTGTTCTACATGTTGAGCACTAAGAGATTTCTACAACTTACCCCATTCCTACAGCTCAAACTGGTACTGCCTAGATTCCTTCAGATCTTCTCTAATCCAATGTTTAACTGGAGTTATCAGCTGGCTCGATCGTGCTTCATTATAAAACCTATTAAAATGGTCTTTTTATAAAAGCAGAGTTTTCTCTGTGTTACTCCAAAGTCCTGCAGATACTAAAATGAGATCCTATGCAATGCTTAAAAATGCAGAGAGCTGTCTTTGAGTTATTTTTTCATTATGCAAAACTTGGCCCAGGAGAGATGGCCATGTACCTCGTTAGCTAAAACAGGCAAGCATGTTGGGACTGCAAATTAATTTACCGGAGAAAGTTGAAGTAAATGCGAATCATTCAGGTTCCTAAGGCAAATCTAAGTCTACTGATCGGGGCAACTTGCTGAGGTCAGAATCTCTGAAATGTGTATCCTCACAGTTTCTTCCCTACACTCTGTGGGAGAATACAAACTCCGTCTTAAGCCTGCATGAGGAACAGCAGAAGCTCTATGGGAACCAACAGATGTAGGTATAACTCTTAAGTTTTTAGAAGTATAATCAGTACATGCTCGACAAATACAAATGGAGACAATCATGTATTTGCCCTTTCTCCTTACATTAATTTCTTGTGTTTGCGAAGTGCAGGGTTCCAAGGGGGCTTGCATTATTATGTAACACGTGTCATCCAGCCAGTGTGATGTAGTTGGGAATAGAGTAGCAAAATCTTTCATTTTATCAATTATGTCGTTACCTATTAATTAAAAATACCATTCTTTTGGGTGCTCTCCCTCATTCGATATTAATCTCCTGTTCCTGCCACTCTACTCTCCATAAGGTCTCTGCGTTGAGAAGTGTATAACAAGTTGGATTCAATTTTCCTACCCAAGTTATGGAACCCACTGACATCAGAACATAGTTCTCTAAATGCAAGAAGGATACCAGAGTGGTTGCATCAGAAGCCAGGAGTAAGGCAAACAATGTATTCACATTGTCAATTCAGGTAAGTGTACTTCTCACGCTTGACCCTGGAAACATGCAACCCTCTTGATAGCCGGAGGCACCTCACTGGTAACATTATGCAAATTCCTTAAGGAAAACAAGCAACATTCTCCCTTAGATGGTACGAAAAAAATATTTTTTTCAAAAAAACTCAACAGACTGGGCTTCCATTTGCGGGCTGTAAATGCCATCCAATTCGGGAAATCAAAAAAAAATCTTCCCTTTTCTATGCGTATTTGCTTATTTTTGACACTTTGATAATGACAGCCCATTCAGGTTTGAGGGGTACCGGCGAGAAATCCGGGAGAGCCACAAAAGCAGAGAAAGTAAGGGTGGCATCAGACGCATTTCATTTCAAGTCTGATGAGCCTGCATTTAGGATTTTCCGGCTGGGCAGGTTTGCCAGGGCATTTGGGAGATGGGGCTTTTTATTCCTCTCCTCATACTCACTCACTCACACGCACAAACACACACAGACACACACACACACACCTGGGGCGCGTTCAAACTATGTGCGGTGGGTGGCATATACGAATGTGTATGTCTATTTTTTAAAAATAGCTTGACATCTGACAAAGACACGGAAGGCAAACGTAGGTGCAGCGAGTGTGGCTCTGAGAAACGTGCACAGCGCGCGAGAAGTGCCCGTTAGAATGCAACATCTCTGATGAGGACAGACATGGCAAGCGCGAGGGGCGGGGGCCGACACACAAGACAGAGACCCGCAGCTCCCCACCGACAGGGCGCCGCGCGGACCCGGCGCCGCACCCCTGCTTACTGTGGGCTCTTGGGGTAGAAGGGCAGGGTCACATGGCTGAGATCCTGGAGGTCGAAGGCGGTGGGCTCGGCGGAGATCGCCTGCCGCTTGGTGCGCGGCTCGCCCTGCAAGGTGCCGGCGCTCTGCTTCTGCGCCTGCTGGGTGGCCGGCCGGATCACCGAGCGGTACTTGTCCAGCTCGTTCTGCAGCTTCTGGATCAGTTCGTCCTTCTGATCCAACTCCAGCTCCAGCTCGTCGATGAGGGCATCCCGCTGCCTCAGCTCCTCGATCTTCTCCTGGAGCGCGTACTGTAAATCCCGCAGGGTGCCCATGCTCCTCCGGGCCGCCGGGGCGCCTGCCCGCCGCTGCCGCGCGCCTTGGGGCTTGCTCCCCTCTCCGGGCAACTTTCCCCAAAGTCGCCGCCGCCTCCCGAGTGCAGACGCTTCCTACTCGAGCCCAGAGCCAGCCCTGGCTTCTGAGCATGCCCAGTCCGCCGCTCCGGCGCCGACTTTCGGTGCAGCTCCCACTTCCCGGGCCGCCGGAGAGGCTGAGCGCGGGGCCCGCAAGACAGCAGGTCCAAGCCGGGACTGAGCCGAGGCGCGGCGAGCGCAGGGCCGGAGGCGGGCGCAGGGCGGCGGGCGCCGGAGGAAGCGGGCGCTGCGCCTGGGGCGCCTGATAAGCCGCGCGGCGGGGCGGAGCGGGCGGGCGCGCCACTTCGGGGTGGGGGAGGTGGGGGAGACGCCGGGGAGGACCCCGCGCAGACCGGGGAGGCGCCAGCCGGGGCACCCCCTCCCCCCCACCCCTCCCCGCCGCCCCGGCACCCCGGCCTCGAGGCCGCTGGGCTACGGTCCCGGCCGCGTCCTCGGGCCGGGCGGGCTCGGCATCCGAAAAGCTCCGGGGTCCGGAGGTGTTCTGGCCGCCGGCCTCCCCAGCAGAGGCTCCCGAGCTGCGTGGCGGCGCTGTCCCCTCGCTCACGCCACCCTTCCCACGGGGAGCGCCTCGCACAGGTGGCTGGAGAAGAAACTTGCCTCCCGCCGCAGAGGAGCCCGCGCCCCGGGCGCGGGGTGGGTGGGGGGGCTCCCTGACGCGCAGGTGCCTTTGGGGAAGGGGCGAAGGGGGCGGGGCTCTGGCTCCTCTCCCCAAGTGGGGCGGCTCTCTCCCACCCCTGCCAACTGCCCCCCCTCTCAGCCCCTGCCAAACTCACACGAAGGAACTCTTTTCAGGTCTGGGCCCGAGAAGGCCGCTCAGCTCTCCCTCCCACCTGAGCTAGTGTCTGCGGAAGAGTTTCTGGCTGGGCCTCGCGTCTTCCATTTGCTTAACTTGGGGTGGGGGACAGGAGGGGGGTGCAGGGGGGGGGAATCCGTGCCGAGCTCCAAAAAGTCCATCCTGAAATTGAACTGTATCTTTAAAAATATTTCCTCTGTGACAACCAAGCTGTTAGAAAGGTCTCCTTACACTTGAATGGCAAGACACAAACTGAATATAGGAGGGATCATGAGAAGGGGGAGCTCAGATGGGTTGCAGAAAATTGTGCTATATCACCCCACCCCTACCCATTCCCCTCATCCCCGCCCACTTAGTCTTTCCTAAAATGATGACAACTAGGTTGCATCTCTTCTGTGGAAGGGGGATTCTCCCATCATCTGAACACATGTTCAGAATCCACAAATGTTAATGCTTAACTACTCACCTAAATTCCTAATATTTAGCTAAATCTTCACCAACTCATCCAACTTTATACCACCTTTATTAGCAGCCCCCTAATTACTATTCCTGAGCACCCCGTGTTATAAACCAGTGCTCTATTTGGCCATTCCTTAACACTAAAAGTCGACAGAAAATACATTAAAATCGAATTGCAATCCAGAACTATTCCCTGGAATCTAAACTTAGCCAAGAATGAACATATCAGTCTCAAAAAAAAAAAAAAAAAAGTTTGCTTTTACTTTTGAATACACTTTTTCTATCTGAGCTAAGAAAGGGAAAAAACAAAAAACAAAAAAACCCAGCTAGCCAATGGCACATTAACCAACTTTTTGATTCGAAGTGTTCTGTTGGGGCGCCTGGGTGGCTCAGTCGTTAAGCGTCTGCCTTCTGCTCAGGTCATGATCCCAGGGTCCTGGGATGGAGCCCTGCATCGGGCTCCCTGCTCAGCAGGGGAGTCCACTTCTCCATCTCCCACTCCCCCTGCTTGTATTCCCTCTCTTGCCGTCTCTCTCTCTCTCTCTCTCTCTCTCTCTCTCTCTGTCAAATAAATAAAATCTTTAAAAAAAAAAAAGTGCATCTGTTTGTAATTAGAGGTGTGCAGGACAAAGGATGTACAATCCTAAACAGTCTTCCACTCAGGTCATGATCTAATGCTCTTAGCACAGGTGATGTAAGACAATTTTTCAGCTTTCCAACACAGACATTTCCAGAAATGCATTTATTTCAGAATGTAATACATAAAGTAGATAATCCTTGAAACAGTTTCATTGGTAATGAACAGACCATGAGTAACTTACAAATACTGACATCAGTGAAATAGTTCTGAATTGTTTTTTTAACTAAAACTAAATCAAGCAGAAGGTCTATGGCTTTGTATAACTGACTCTATCCTAAAAGAGAGCTTATGTGACAATTTCCTTGTCCCAGGCAAAAGGCCAAGTTCTTACTTTATTTAACCTATGGGGACTCTTCCATGGGAAAATGTTTAGAACTAAATGCCTTTTTTCCCTATAGATCTATATAGGGGTCCTTGAGGCCAAGAGTTTATGTCTAGAAATAGAAGCAATGTACAGGGGATATCCTTAGACAGTTGCTAAGCAGGGTTATGTTTTAAGGTTCATTTGAGGCTTAAATGGAGTTACTTATGGGCAGCACAAAGTAGAGAAGATTCTTCATTTGTAGAAAGCCTGTCTATCTTGAGAGTCAGAAGTCTGTTATAACACATGCAAAGAAAGTAAAACGGCCAAAACATAAGACTATTACAACTGACTTACGCTTTTAAAAAGTATTCAAGGTATAAGGATGTATCAGGTTATATTAGCCTATACTATGAAAAGAATAATTTAATTCCCCCCTCACTTTATAATTACATATGCAAAATCCAGAATTCTCAACCTTTCCATTCTTGAGGTCAGAGTGAATATTTTAAGTAAGCTTTGCAATGATGTTCTTGACTGGTTGTTTAGATATTAAGGGGCCTGGTTTTCCAACTCAACCTTTTGAGTGATCCCAATCTTTTTTTTAAACATCTTTTGTACTGTCCTTGGTAAATGCTGGAAATAAATTTTATGTGAAAAATCAAGGTCCCGTAGTTACATTTCAACAGACAAATGTACTATGTGTCTCATGGTAAGTTAAGTTGGCTAAACTATAAGATCAGAGATCAGGCACAAGTCTACTTTCTGCTTACTAGGAAGTGAATACACAAATCTGAAATGGAGTGGAGTGGGATCTACTGAGCTCTCCCACTGCCTATATCATGGGGTGAGGTCTCCATGGTAGATGCTAAAACACAGAGCAATGCAATGCTGAAGGAACTGAGTTCATACTCTAGAATTCCATAGTCAACTCACAACTGGCTCTTTAGCTGGTCTCTCTTTGTCCCTGCCCTAAGAGGAGCAGAGTTCTACCAGTAGCCAGACCCACCTCGGCATATTGATGTGCTTCAATTTTGCACCCATCCCTCATGACTGAGAATACATTGTATCATGCCTTCCGGATTCAATCTCACAACCATTTAATGAGGCATTCAATAACGCAGCTTCATAGTGGCTTTTAAGAAAATAAAGTCTGTAGAATTTATCATCCTTCACGAAAACCATAATTAGCCTCAAAAGGACACTCATCCAAGTGTCCATGCTACTGATGCCACATTTCCCGGAAGAGTCCTAAGTATGAAATTTTCTTCTGCCATTTCACGTACATATCTTGAGTAGAAACAAACAAAACACAGCTGAGCTTTTTAGGTGATGGAAGCCACCCCTTATAGAAAAGGGCTGCAGCTAACAAGTACCTCTAAGAAAGAGGAAAGTGACCATTACCGGTAGACATGCTGGCATGCTCTAAATTGCTAATCTTAATCAGAGGCCACAATAAACATAACTTCCTTGAACTCTTAATGCATGACAGGCACTGTTTAATGTAACCCCACCAGGGAGTCTTTATTATTACTTCCACTTACATTTGAAAAAATTGGAGGCAGGTATCACCCACCTAATGGATGGCAAAGCCTGGATTCAAATCCAGACCACGGGATACAGAGTTCAACCTCTGACTCCCTCCCTGCCCCTCATTATCTTCTGCAGGACTTCCAACTGTTGCTAAGGTCTTGATTCTCGATCCAGAGAGAGAAGAATATCCTTAGCATTTTTCGACTGACTTGGGGAGGTGGAAAGAGGAAGAATTTGGAAAATTCTGAAAGAGCCGGAAAGAGAACTTTTATAAATTCTTCTTCCCAAAACTGTCTTCACTCCAGCACCATTTCATTCTCGTTGAAGGTGACTAACTTGCACCCATCTATCTGGGATTGTCCTGGTTTTAATACTAAAATCGCTTAGGACTATCCCGGTTTTAAAGCTAAAGTCCTAGGTACCCCTTGGTCCTGGACCAACCAGAACAGCTGGTCACCCTATTTAATTCAGGATTGCTGCAACTCCCTACTTTATCAAATTTTGCCTTCGAAGTTACAGATAGGAAGTGGCCAAGGAAGATCTGTAAACATAATTCCTATTATTTTAGGCACATTACAAACCCACTTACACATTTGTTTGTGTCAATATGTTTTAAGGAAACAATCATCCTATTTCAATGCATAAGAAGATACCATAGGAACTGTCTTTGGGCTATAAAGGGCATGAGTCAGATGACAGAATTTTAATTGCACTTGAATAAATTAGAGATTCTAGGTTCTCCTTTTGGTTTACTGTTTTTATAGAAATCTGGACTTCAGACGTATGGGCTTTCTATGGATAAAGCACAATAAGTAAAGCACCTGCTATTTGATTAACTCTTACAGAATTATTCTTAGGACTGTATTTGGTGGTGGATTCAGTCATCAGGAATCCATATTTTAAATGGATATAAGTAAAAATTCTAATGGTTTGGCTTGTTGAAGCTAAACTTCTGTGCATGATACGTTCTGCACGGAAAAGAAAAAAAAAACATAAACCATTAATGATGAAAAACTTACTGCAGAGATTTGGAAAGTAATAGTGCATTGTACCATAATTGCTAATGTGCTTAGAGTTTAATACCGAATTAGTGTCATGCCTAATATCAGTTGAAATGAATTCTTATATTCCACAGTTTAAAAGGATGGCATGTTATTACGGAGCCTGAAGTAGTGTTC